ATCTGTGCCTGTCAATTTGACGGAGCCATCGGATATGCAAACATTTGACCAAACAGTATTCAGGGCATTTCTGTGAGGGTCTTTTTGGATGAGGTTAACATTTGAACTAGTAGATGTCGTAAAGTAGGTTGGCCTCCCCAGTGCGGTAGGTTTTGTCCAACCAAGCAGTTGAAGACTTGAACAGGACAAAAATGGCTGACCTCCTGCTAACTGCCCTCAAGCTGGGACATTGGTTTTTTTCTTCTTTCAGTCTCAAACTGAAGTGTCTCCTAAATTGAAATCTTGATACAGTAGACCTTCCACTCACCCTCCTGGGTCTCCTGCTTGCTGATTCACCTTGTAGATCTCAGGACTTTCCAGCCTCCATAATCAGGCAAGCCAATTCTTTATAATAAATCTTTATATCCACAAACTATTGGCTCTGTTTACTGGGAGAACTCTCACATACCAACTTTGCCTGAAGCCTAACAACTTGGCTTTAACCCTAATACTTTTGTTAGTATCTCATAAATAATCCTCAAATCAACTGACAATTATAATAGTTAAACTTCTAACACAACCAGACTCTGAAAATGACAGCACTAAGCCTATCTCATTCATCCACTCATGTAACAAATACCTCTTGTGTTCCTACAGGTCAGGCACAGTTCTAGGCTCTGGGTAGATAGCAGGGAATAAAACTAAGAAAAGTGCTTGCTAACACCAAGCTTATATTCTTTTGAGGGGAAACAATCAACAAGATAAATCACTAAGCACTGAGTGCTAGATAATAAAAATGATGGCGACAAATGAAGCACAGAAGAGGAGGAAGAGTGTTGGCAGAGGGCTGGGGCTGTAATTTTAAACAAAGGAGTCAGGGAAGAATTACTGAAATGTTCTTTATGTAACAATTGCAGATGATAAGAAACAGAGCCAAATGCAGGCAGGGGAACTTCAAGGTGCACCCCAGGAGGTCAGCAAGGTTGACTGGGGGAGAAATGGGACAGGTGCTGGAGGGAGGGGACAGAGCACAGGGTGTCCTCAGATGGCAGCACATGGTGCAGAAGGATGACCTCATTTATGTTTTAAAAGAATCACTGGCTCCTGTATTGAGATGATTTGAAGTCAGATACCAGCAAGGAGGTTGCTGCGATCATCTAAACAAGAGACATGTGACTTTAGCCAGAGAATGTACAGGCAGCACTGGCTAATCAATTCATGGGCTCTGCTGCAAGATCAAAGTGCAGCACCCTTTGTTCACAAATTATTAAGAATTTTAAGATTTAATTTTTTTTTTATGCATACGGAACTAAGGAACAGGCCAGAAGTACCGGGGCAGTGAGAGGATTCACCAGAGACAGAGTGGGGAGCAGAACAGGCAGCTCTACGAAGTACACTACTGAGGGGAGCAGGAGGTGGGTCAGGAGAAGTCTGCCGCACCAGCTGGGTCACCGGATGGGGATTGAACTCATGCGGAAGTGGCTTTAGCTTCTTAGGGCTGTGCTTTAACCTTTTGCGCCACCAGGGAGGGCCAAATTATTAAGAATTAAAAAAAAATTAATTTATTACTTTTCTTATATCACTTTGTGTACTTTCTTAATACATAATAATTTCTTAATACTTATTTTATTATATCACTCTATTTTGGTGTTTGATCTCTCCCCTGAGGAGTCTCCCTAGTTGTCTCACTACCATAACAGACCTGAAACCTTAAGATTATACAGAAAATATAGCTCCACACTATATTACATACAGCTCAGTAACATCTTTAAAGCCTCATCCCCCAATGCGAAGGAAGTGAAGGAAAGTATAAACAGCTGGGATTACATCAAACTAAAAGACTTCTGTACAGCAAAAGAGACACTGGCCAAAATAGACACTGTACTGATTAGTAAGAGGAAATTTTGGCAGCCCATACAACTGATAAGGACTAATCACAATGCTATACAAAGAACTCACATGACTCAACAAAAAGTAACAATCCAGTCAAAAAATGGCAGAATTTACAAGACACTTCTCCAAAGATGAAATGTAAATAACCAACTGGTATATGCAAAATGTTTAACATTCCTTATAATCAGGGAAATGTAAGTCAAAATCACAATGAGATACCATCTTATACCACTGAGAATGGCCCATATTAAAAAAGTAGCAACAAATGTTTGCAAGGGTGTGGAGAAGAGGAATGCTCCTCCACTGCCTGTGGGAATGCAAACTGGTCCAACTGCTACAGAAGAGGCGGCTCTTCAGATTACTGCAATGTAACTACCATATGACTCAGCAATTCCTAGGAATTTACCCAAAGGACAGAAAAAGATTAGTTCAAAAGGACACCTGCATCTCTACGTTTGTTGCAGCACTATTTACAATAGGCAAGATTTGGAAACAACCCAAATGCCCAAAAATAGATGACTGGATCAAGATGTGGTATATATACACAATGGAATACTATTCAGTGATCAAAAAGATGAACTGATGCCAACATGGATGGAGCTAGAAGGGATATGCTCAGTGAAGTAAGTCAGAAAAGGAAACATATTCAAATAGTTTCACTTATAGGAGGAATACAGGGAAACAAAATAAGGGATCGGGGGAAATAATAATAAAAAATAAAACAGGCAACTTTAAATCAAGAGACATTCTACAGAGGAGGCAGAAGAAGGGTCACAACGAGGGTGGGGAGAACACAGGGAGTCTGGTGATGGTGCACAGGTGGTGGAAATTCTATGGGACTACATCTGAGAAAAGAAAGCAAACATTGTACAAATATGAACAATCATGTAAAATGTGTATGAAAATAATTTAAATGGTGTAGCTGCTTTGCAACGCAGCATGATTTTTTAATCAGAAAATTAAAAATTGCCATATGATGCAACACTGCCATCTTGATACCTTAAAAAAAGGAAGTTTGGACATCTGTTACAACATAACTAAGCCATGATGCTTGGTGAGATAGGTCTGTCACAAGCACACAAATACTGTGATTACACTCCTATGAATTATATAAGGTCCTGAAGTTCAGGAGCCCCCCTGGTGGCCAAGGGGTTTAAGTCTCAGCTCTAACACCTTTGCCTGAGTTTCATCCCCAGCCAGTTTGCTGACCCACATGACGCAGCAGACCTTTCCTCAGCAGTATATTTCAGATCAGCCTGTGCTGTTCCCCACTGTCTCTAGTGTATCCTCTCACCCCTTACACCTCTGGCCTACACTCCAGTTCTACAAAACAATAAAGTTGTCAGGTTCGTAGCAGGGGAATGTTGATTGTCAGGGGTTGAGGGAGAAGGACATGATGGAGTCATGTTTGTTTGATGGGCAGAATTTTACTTTCCCAAGATAAAAAGTTCTGGACGGAAAACATTAGCTTTTTAAAGTTAATATTTAACAACTTTCAATTGACAATTTCCAATCAACTTAAGAATAGTCTTGATGTTATAATTTTCATGGTTTGCATGTTATTGCCTCAGCCTGGAATATTCTTACTCTTTTATAAGTCCACTCAGCCTGAAAAGCATAGTTCAAAAATTGAAATCCTTTTTCGAAGACTTGTCCCTTTATTGGCATATTTATCACTAAGTGGAAAAGCCTACTGGAACCAGGCCCTAAAACTGAAGATTTACTAAGTTGACCAGAAATAAGACATAGAAGGCCTTCTAGGCAAAGGGGCAGAGATGAGATAGGAAATAGGAACTTCACTAGGTTACTTGAACAGAAAACTGCACAGGTCAGCTGAGCCAGACTAGGCTAAGGACTTTAGATTGAATTCTGTCAGTGACGATATACCAACAGAGGATTTTTTTTAACTTTTCAATTAATCTTTAAGAGTGACAAAAGTAGAATAGTAACAAAAGCAGTAAACCTGTCAAGATTGATGCTTTTCTCTAACAGAGGATTTTAAGGGGAAGAAAAGCATCTTAGTGTCAGGGAAAAAAAGGAAAGCATGTGTGGAAATATGGATATTGGCCTGAGGTGAAACTGGAAATACCGCCCAGGCCAGCAGGCAGGCAATGTAAGAGGGAAAAATTCGGTCAAATGAAATGAGGGTGCTGGTTGACTTGAGGGGGTCGATAAAATACAAAAGAAAATTCAGCATGCAGTCAAAGCGGGTACAGAAAGCAGAGACAAAAATATTGGAGTTCGTGGGGCCCCCTGGTGATGCATCAGCTTAAAGTACAGCACTATGAAGTTGTCTGCAGCCATTGCAGCACAAGTTTGATCCCTGGCAAAGGGAGCCACCCACACAGCACAGCAGCCTCTCTTACCTGCTGCTCCCATCAGTAGTGTATTTCAGTAGATCCACCTGTTCTGCTCCTCACTGCCTCTGGTGAATCCTTTCATTACCCTGCATCCCTAGTCTATACCCCAGCTCTTGTATGCATTCATAAATCTCAAAAAAAAAAAAAAAGGAGTTTCCATCTCATTAATGCCACTGGATAAGGCTGAAGGCTGATTAGCTAGTGTGAGCATATCAACAGGGGTACTGCACTCCAATGCCTAAGGAGCAGGAATGTGAAGAAATGCCAGGAGAGATCTGTGTCTTGGAAAAAAGAGTCAGGGGCAGGGAAGCAGGAGGATAAGTCATAAGAGTAATTTTGGAGGGAAAAGGGAACTTTTTTCAAAAACAGACTTGGAAAGGAATTAAGAAGTCAGCTTTGGTCAGATGTGGCATAATGATCTCAGTGAAAACTGGTGTGGTAGGCAAGGAGTGGAGGGTGGTGGGAAATAAAGGGCTGTTTGCCTACTCAGAAGTCATGATTTGTATCTTAACAACCCCAGAGGAGGCTGTGGTGATGACAGAAAGAGAGACACTCAAGGGAAAACTTTTTGGGGGTCATTTCTGGAGTCAGAGAAGAGGTTCAACATCTACATTCAGGATAACTGGCAGGTCAAGTATACAAAGGAGAGGTAAGGAGAGGTGCTTATGAGACAGAACAGTTGCCGAGGTTACCTTCCTGTCCCTGAAGGAGTTTCCTTCCTGTGGCACTAATGCAGGTATTTTGGTGACAAATGAATATACAAAACAGTATTGATTCATGATTTATTACCAGGGTTGTTGACAGAAAACTCCTTTTCCCCACAGTTAATTTAAGCATAAGAACAGGTGTTTGTCTCATGTGACTTCCTTTTACAACTATTATTTAAAAAAAAAAAAATCATAAAATTGTATTTGGGAAGATATTAGTTCATCAATTTTTTAAAAAAGTTATTCGGGATGGCGATGTGGTCTCAATTCTCCTTCAGTAGCTACGACCAAACAAGGTGTAGTACTTGGCTGTGTTCTTGCCACAGACACACCTGGCTCCAGGCTGCAGCTCATGAAGTGGTTTGAAGGGGATACAAAGGCTTTTTGCTCCCATGGATGGAGCACCAGGCTCAAGATCTTGATCCCTGAAATTAAAATCAAACAAGAATTCCAGTCAGTTATGCTGTGTATTTCTCCCCTTCTTCATGGCAAGGCGGATGCGTTTTGTCTGTTAGTCACACTCACCTGGCAGTAGTCTTTTTGATCCAGTCTTCACAGTCAATCTCCCCACAGAATGGAATCTGCACGATCTGAAAAAAAGAAAATGTTTAGTATTTATCACTCCCATCTGAAAAGGGAAAATCTGAATCCCCCACTGAACTTAACAAGCAAAATGTATAGGTCACCCAGCCCTTTTCAGACCTTTGCAAAGCTGCTAGGAACTTTGCAAGAGAAAGGAAAAGAATGCTTTTCTACTACTCAAAAGCACACACCACAAAACAGCAGAAGATAACAAGGACACCTTGGCAGTACTAGAAAATATTCAAATAACTATCACATGGTGCCTGAAGAGAAGGAACAAAGGGGAACAAATTTGAGTGTCCTCCCTCACTGCATCCAGAGCTGTGCTGCTCTTTCCAGCAAAACAGCTAATTAGACATAGGCCAAATAGAAAGCTGATTTTTAAAGGGTTGTTAACAGTAACTACATCAGAAGACCTCACTTTATGTCACACTGTTTTGAACATGTTTACAGGTAAGTGAATCATTTCCAAAGTCCAAGGGTCTTGGAAAATCAAAAGTAATTTGCCAAATAAAGTCTCCATTTTTCTTTCACAGAACACACAGTTATTGGGCTGCATCAAGAGACCTGAGATTGGATCCCAATTTGAAGTTTGCTACCTGTTTGAAAGTCTGAGTTTTCTTTTGTTAAATGTGAATTTTGTACCAGACAAGAATTAAATTTCTCCCAAGTATGAATCCTAAGTTTTTCACAGCATTTCTATTTCAAAATAAGGTTTATCTGCAATAACATGGAATAGTCTGGTAAAAAAAAATTCCCGGAGATCAAGGATAGTGATGGGAGGCCAAGGGGGTGGGTAACTCTCTTGCGTTAGAAATGCTAGTGTAGAAGCAGCTTGTGAATTGCCCAGCTTCCTCACCAACCTCTAATCAACTATTCCCAGGCACACATGCCCTGTTCAAAGATTCCCTCCCATAAACCCTCAGGAAGTCAGGAATTGCACTCAGGAACTGTTTGGTTAGGCCTGTTTCAAAAGCTTCTCTAAGAAGTAAAGTGAAAGTAGAGATTAGAAAATTACACAAAACTGAGCAATTCCTCAGGTGAATGATATTGCGAGGTGAGGAAGGTTAGTTACCTTCATCTCTTATGTTCACAGCAAGACACACTGACCTAACTCCCCAGAGCAATAGGCTGACTTAAAAGATAGTAAAAATATCTGGGCAAGTTCTGGAAGGTGGCAGTGGGTAGACGAAGGAAAGGAGGTAGTAATGGTAAAAATACAGAAAGTGTTTGAAACAAAAAGCAAATCTACAGCAATAGGAGCTGAAATAACAGCTGCTGACCTCCACTAAAACTTGATAAATCATTAGCTTCTTACAAACATGAAGAAAAATGTACACTCACGAAAATATTTAAAAGTCATTACAAGACAAAATGGGCAAAAGCTTTAATCACTGTCTCAATGATAAAAAACAAAAATTACAAAGAATACCTTTGGGTAATAAATTCAAATATGGTTTTAGCAAATGCTACTCTTATTAACTCCCATAAGTTACAGCTAGATGTTTTATAAATGATAAACTTCAAGTAAATAGTCTTATTTTCTTTTTCTCTGAGGTAAAACAATTAGCCCTTGAAAAGGAATGTATTCTTTAAATTTTAAAACTGTGATATAAGCAGGGGAACAAAATGAAATAAAGTTGTTAGTAATATGTTTGTAGAAATAATTATCATTTTATTAAAAAATGAAAATATTTTTTGGTTGAAAGTAAAGTTTAGATAAGACCTGAAATTTCTGATTTTCTAACACATGTGATTCATTAATATTGATAGGATAATGTGCATTTCTGGATGTTTGTGGAAAGGATTTAGTTTTTTATTTTTCACTAGTCTATATTTACATTTTAAAAACACAATTTAGGCAATATGTAATATCTTAAGTTCTTTAACAGAAATATGAGTGATGGTTAAAATCAGTGATCTATAAAAGATTAATAATAGATTAATAAAATTGATCTATAAAAGATTAATGTCAACAGTAAAAAAAACCATTTAAAATATGTATTATATTAAAATAATCATTTTTTAATTTAATAATAATCAGCCCCTTGGGGACCTCCCTGGTGGCGTAGGGGTTAAGTCTCAGTGCTATCACTCACTACAGTCTGAGTTCAATTCCTGGTAAGGTGACCCACATGGTGCAGCTGACCTCTCCAGTCTCTCCCATCACTTCCCTTATCAGTGTATTTCAGTAAATCCGCCTGTTCTGCTCCCTACTGTCTCTGCTAAATCCTCGCATCCCCAACACATCTGGCCTACAGTCAGTTCTGTGCAATCAATCAATAAGTCTTTTTTTTTTTTTTAAGGAGGTTCATCCCCTCAGAAAAATTTGCTAAAATCAAAGTTAATAAATTAGATACAATTTTCCTCATTTACATCAACAGGGAAGAGCAGAAAATCAAACTTTCACCTACATTCAAGTTCCAAAGAGCCCTTCCTGCTGGCTTCCCCCTCCCAGCAAATACAACTTTATTTACAATCACCTCAAAGGTTACTTGTTGGCGAGGCAACACATTCAAGCTGACAGACATGAGGTGTGTTGGGGGATGGAAATGAATGCTGAATACAAGAAATATAATCTATTTTGGTCTCTATTTGCTCTTTGAACATAAAACTAAAATCCTATGTTACTCCAGAACAGAGGTTGAAATCTCTCCAGTAGCTTATCTAATTTCAAATAAAAGATATGATTCCACTAAGCCCAAGTGAGATTAATTTCTCTGAAAAAGCAATGGATAACTGACAGCTACTTTATTGATTTATTAACTCTTACGCAATCAATGGCTTTAGTAGACGTACTGTAGAAGTGACTACCATATTTCTATAATAAAGGAAGCTCCTAAACTCAATATTTAATGGAACAAAAATAAAATAATCATAAATAAGAGTTAAAAAAAAATACTGTACCAGGAGGTCATGTTCCCTCTAGCCTTCTGTCACAAGTACAGTTTGAGTCTGGTGACAGGTTATGGAAACCAGAAAGGTGGAAAAATGCAAAAGTAATAAACCAAGACTAGAAGGCTAAGTCCTGAAGAATATAGGTCTCAAGGGACACTGAGATTATGTACTGTGCACCAATTAATAAACTGAGAGTCAGAGAGACAAGCACCTTCTTAGCTCAGGCAACAAAAAAATATTGTTATGACCACTAACAATAAAACTTTGCTTTATATATGAAAAAAATAAACAAAACAGTGGAAAGTTCATTAAACCAGTGCATTCAATCAGTTCTGCTTCTGTATAACTCAGGGTAACTCAGTCAGCTTCTATGCTACTCTCTTCTCATTTCTAACATGGGGGCACAGGACTGGTTGTAAAACAAATCTATAAAACAAAAATACTAGTAACTATTCACTATTATTCATAATTCTAGCAATTAATAAGTTTGCCAACTGGGGCCTCTTCTTTATGAAAATCCATTTTCAGATAGGAGTTATCTATCTGTTGTATATACACATCACAAAACTGAATAAAATCTTTGCCATTGACTCTTTAATCAAAACTGTGTAGTCTCAAGGACCCAGTGGTAACCACTCTTGAAATTCAGCCTCAGATGTGTACAATACTTTTCCCTAATTAGTCAAAAATTCAATTAGCCAAGATATGATACAGGATCAGAGAATGGAAAGAAATGGACTTGAAACCTCAATTCAGGACTCTGCATCTTACATTTCTAAAGCTACATACAACATGCTACCTTTAAGAATTTGTATCAAGCTGAAAAAAAAAATTAACTTTCAAAATGACACATTAGGGATCATGCAGAAAAATGCTGGTTAGCCACCATATCAAACATGAGAAGAAACTTTTAAATAATCAACAGATGGCGTTATCTAAAAATGCGATGCTATGGAAAACAGCAAAATAATGGAAACACAGAATCCTTTTGTATGATTGGCCTTGAAAAGGGAATTAGTATCAGGCATAAATTCAGCGACTTTTCAAATACATTTTCTGAAAACAAAATTTTTAAAAGATTTATTTATTTATGCATACAGAACTGGGGTACAGGCCAGAGAAGCAGGAGTGGTGAGAGGATTTACCAGAAACAGAACGGGGAGCAGCGGACAGATCAGGAGAGGTTTGACGTGCCACGTGGGTCAGTCACCTCCCTGGCTGGGAAGAGAACTCATGCTTTAGCTTCATAGTACTCCTCTGGGCCACCAGGGAGGGTCCTGAAATATTTTTGTATTCAAAAATTTTCTTACCTTTCCAGAATCTAGTGCCTTCTGAAACTCTTCCATTGTATTCGCCACAACCATATGAGCCTTAAGGTCTTCAGAAGCCCTATTGAAAGATCATTAGTAAAGAATATTTTTTCCTAATATGACAAAATTAAAAAAAACCTAGGGTAGTCATAGTTTAATAAAAGAACAATAACCTGGAAGGAAGGACTAATTTGAATCTTGGTCACTGGCAGTAAATCTGAGTTAACTCAGCACTGCTTTATTGTGAACATGAAATGAATGGGCGCTTGCCATGTACCCACTAACTTTTCATCACTGCCTTTCAATTTTGACTGGCCAACATTCTACTCCTGGCTGTGCCACTTACTATCTAGTTTGGGTTATTTTTTAAGACCCTCATGTCTTGAATTTTCCCTCCTATGATACTGGAAGATTGGACATTCCCTCCTACAATACTGGACCATCACATAGGATCATTGTGAGAACCAAACACAAAGGCAGGATCATGTTTTGAAAAGAAAAAAACAATACATTATCTGTACACATTATGTACTCTGTAATTAATTCTTTCACAGGCTACAATATTCTCCTCCTATTCAAAGTCACACATTATTTAGGACTACTTCTGGGTGGCCACTACTTTTCTGAATCTCAGGTGTGAGACATATGAACTCTGCCATCCTTTGCTAACTGTTCACCACACCACATCTATTCTCTTTTCTTCTGTTACCCATTGGGTAGTCTCTTGGACAAAACTCAGTACCAGCCAGTGTAATTGAACCTTTAAAAACAACCATGAAAACAGCATTATCTTAATTTTGTTTTCTTTTTCCTTAACAATACTGTCTAGAAAAAGAACCTATATTTAGTAAACAGTGTAATATAGAAGGTAAAAAAAAAGTAAAATTTAATGGTAAGACAAGTTCACATTAAGTGATAAATTACAATCTGAATTGACATATACAGATTGGTCTTAACTATAGACACTCATTTACCCGCTCATAAAAAGTAGAAGGAAACACAAAATCTTTTATTAACTGTATCAGGCAAGTGAGCTAAAGGCATTTTTATTTTTTCTTTCTATTTTTTACTATTTCATTCTTTTTCTACAATGACCATGTCTGCCTAAATATAAAAATAATTCAGAATTAATGCTAAAGGTAAATAAAGTTATAGGTTCTTTAGTAAGTTCCTCATATCTGAAAAGGAATGGAGAACTTGGATGAGAGCAAGGAGGCAGCTTAATAATTTGTCCTATAAAGTTATAACCTCTAATAAATTCACCTGGCAAATATTTACTGAGCATCTATCACATATAATCTAATTTTTCTATTACACAGAAGATAAGAGCTTAAAAAAGTAGAAGCAGCCTTTACAAGAGGGCCAATTCAAGCAAAAATAAAGCAGATGCTTTAAAGGTATCTTTTTCTTTTTTCATAACGAAAATAAAATTACTGATTAATTTTCATGGTGAAAAAACACACCTTTGTGCAATTGACATTAACAAATTTACTGAATAAAAATGTCAGCCAAAAAAAACTACCCTTTAGTCACCAAAAAGCAGTGATTTTCAAAAGAGATGTATATCTCAAAGAGAGCAAACTTTAACAATACAGATAACCAGAGCCTATCTCAAAACTAGTGATCAGAATCTCAAGTGAGGCTCAGGTAAGTTGCTACTGCCACAGCTTCCAGGTGACTGAAGAGATTCCCTGGGGGAAAAAAAAACTGTTCCGCTGAGTGCATTATTTGAAAGGCAGAAATAGCTTTCCTCTCTGACAATATTATTGCTGTGTGTTCTAGAGGAGCTTCAAATGCATTTCTGTTGGGTAACCTCTCAAGAGATATGTGTACTATCACTCTCCCATTTCAGGGAAAGCAAATGAAATGATTTGCCTAAAAACAAAGAAGCAACCACCAAAATCGAGCTAAATGAGCTCACTACCTCCAATGCAAGGATTATTAAGGCTTCAGACAGAAGTCCTTCAGAGACAAATGAATAACACACATGTTCTTTGGTCAAAGACTGAGTAAGATTTACAGATGAGAGACACAGGCTATACTAAAGTGCTCACCTTGTGAAAAGGCTAATGTGGATGTCTTCCAAAAGAGCTTGAAGTTTAGTCTCAGCCTCATGTTCAGCAACTGTCAACTTCTCCCCAGTATCTCGTCTGACAGCTACAAACTGACAGGTCTTCATATCACGTGGCCCAACTTCAAGTCTAATCGGAACGCCCTAAAAAGCCAGCAGGGCATTAAAAACAATATATGCATGTTTTCAAGTGAACATATGCATTTACCCTGAGGCTGTATCATTATAAATCATAAAAAAGAAGAAAGCAAAGATATAAGCAAATGGAAAAAAAAAAAAAAAAGACGGGTAATATTCCTAAGATACTATAGAAAACTAGTCTACTAAGACAGCATAAACCTAAGAGAAAACCTACTATCCATCAGGTCCCTATCCAGATCAGCGTCCCAATTCCTCTCACAAAGCAGGATATGAAGGAAACTAAAAAGTTATGCAGAAGCTAAGCACAGGAACACTGGCTCCTGCAAGGAGTAGGAAGCAGGCTGTCTAAGCCTGCGCTGGAGGGTCTCCAGGGGAGGACAGCCAGTTCTCAGGGGACAGAGCCCAAGAAGTTAAGGGTACAGCAAGGTGGGAGTGGTGGCAATAACTGAGAGAGACTGGGTGCACAAGAGGGGGATGATCAGATAACTAAATACATTAAACATAACTGGAGCTGGCTTTTAGTCAGTGAGGGGGATTACAGATTGAATGAGAGAACACTAAAACAGTTCCTGTGGCTTTGATTAAGTGGAGGGAATTAACGTGATCTCAGTTATCAAGTCCATATCAAAACAGATATGAAGTGTTAAGTGTGTATGTGCGCATACACACTTTCACAGCTCCATCTACTGATAAGATTTGGAAGCTGTGACAGATACAAAGCCATGAGCACAACCAGCAGTAAATATGACTCTCCATTACAATACATTGTAGAATTATGGTTAATTCCAGAGCAGAGGCAGAGAAAGCACAAGATAAACCTGGCAACATCTGATGCCAAAAAGCAAGAAGTGCTGGAGATCAGCTTTAAGGGATCCTGCAGGTCATACTGAGAGTTAAACAATAACAGGAATAGATTATAACCCATGAATAATGTCAGAAATGCTGGGTTCATAAAAATATTAACAACAACCCAAAACTCTGAGAACAGTGTTATTTCAAGATCATCAAAGACTAAAAAACTTGCAGTCTAGACTAAGAGAACTCTATGCAACTTCTGAACTCGATCCTTCCGCTACAAAGGATATGAGAGGACTTCATACCAAAGCTGATGGTTCTAGAATTAGACAATGGCAGGTGTAAATGTCATCATCCTGACTTTGCTGGCTATACTGTGATTAGATGGTAGAACATGTTTGGAGGGTGAAGTGATACCAGACCAACATTTTATTTTCAAAAGGGAAAGTTAATTTTTTTTTACTATATTTGTCTTCATGTAAATCTGTAAAACTTCAAAAGGGAAAAATTAATGTTATTTTACTATAATTGTTTTCATGTAAATCTGCATGATTAAAAAAAAAATTACAATCCAGGTAGAAGAAACAGCAAAAACTCAGTGGTAGAAAACCAGAAAGACTGCTTGCAAAGAAGAAAAAAGGAATATGAAAGGGGATAATGATGAAAAATAAAAGTTGGAAAGATAATCTGAGCTCATTTATGAGGTGGAATATAATTTGTTGGTGGCCTTTTCTAAGTAGTTATGAAATGACTCATAAAGAACTCTGGTATTTCTCTCCAACAGTGACACAAAATTACCATCTTATTCAAAACACATAAAAAAAGTACTTAGTTTACTCCTTATTTTCTTAACACAGGATGAGACTTGCTGACTTCTGTTCTGGCAACTAACCATCACGTACTTCATTTATTAATCCAAATGAGTCTCTTGATACATATTTGTGTCTCTCTTTCTCACATACATACTGAATCACTATCAGATGACTACATATCTAGATCTCCCCAAAATGTTCATTCCTCATGAATTCTTAGACTAAATGAAATGAAAATGGCATATATAAGTACCATCAGTATTTTTCACCAGCGTGTAAAGTCTCTGGGGGCTTTTTAACTTTTAGGCATCAATCACATTTAGATTTTTGGTGCTTCGTTGCTGTTTTTTTTTTTTTATGTTAATGGTGCTTCATTTTCTTTTGAGGGATGTTGACAAAGATGTTCCTTGTCAGACCACCTCCCTTTCCCCTCATGGGAAAGTTCACCAAAGTGCTAAAAAAAACAACAAAGCCAGGTCAGCAGTAGGAGGAAGGGGAGATGAAAGTGGGAGAGGAGAAGGGACACAGAACGGCATGGACAACTTCTTTATTCTTAAGTTCAGCTAGCAGCAATGAAGAAGTTTCTCCTTTAGTATTTGGTACTTTAGGCACATGCAGCTGCTAACTCCGAGTAAGCAAAAGAAAGACTGCAAACTAAAGAGAAATTACGCAGAGAAAAATTCATTTTTAATGTCTGCATTAAAGGTCAGCGAACATGAAAAGGGAAAGTGTATTATATACACACACAGATAAAAATATATAAATTATATATTTAAATACAAATATCTTTATATATATAAAAGGATATATACAGATAGGTAGATCTAAATAGAAAGAAAGGTGCATCAATACAAGCAATACTCTCCAGTACAGAAAATACAGCTAAGGGACCATTTAAAATAAAGGGATAAATATCAGCAACTATGGAACATATGTTAGTAACAAGGTCAATCCCTATATTGCTGAGCTTTCATACTTGGAAGTTTACAGCTATAATCTCTCTATACTTTCTCATTCATTTCCTATAATGTGAATTTATAATTCTTGACTTCTAATTGTTAGATCTAATAAAAGCCTCTGTTTCAGCCTAAGAAAGAAGGTTCAATCCCAAAGTTTGAAAAACAGAAGGTAAGAAAAACAGATCATCCCATACTAATATGCAATAAAGACATACAATATAAAAATCAGCAACTGGCTTGAAACAGTGTATTGTGAAAAAACATGAATTCTCCCACAAGCACTAATGCTTCACTGCTGAGCTGTAACAATGGCAGCTGGTGATGTCCACCTACCATTATGCTTAGATAATTTATTAAATTAATTCCTAGTTTAATTATTTTTGTAGAATTGTATTAGGTTTATTAATCATGAAAAATGTCTTTAAGATCATTGTGATTCCAACATAATAAAAAATAAGCTTCCACAAATAATTTAGCAAACATATAAACTGTGGGAATCACTGTTAGTAAGTTTTGGCCCATGTGTTCAACTCTTTACTTAATCTAAGTAAAGATGAGCTCACAACTACCAAAATAGAGAAAAGCAATAAAAAATTTACATTTTACAAATGCATATGTAGATCTAAATCTAAATTGGGAATGTGGCAATAAAAGAACAACTGAAGAATTACCTTGAGCTCCCAGTGATTGAACTTCCAACCTGGTGAATAATTGTCTCGCAAATCGACTCTAACACGAACATTAACACTGAGTAACCGCCTTCGATACTCATTGCATTTTGCTATCAGAGCTTCCTTGTCTTCTTCTGCAAGTGCATTTGTAATGCCGCAAGGAATAACCACCACCTAGTACCCCACACAAATCCACAAATTTATACAAAGAAACATCATACAGAAGTAACAGTACTGTCACCATAGAACACTCAAGATACAGAATCAACTAGTGACCAAAAATCTTAACACAAATCACATCAGGTTAATTTTAATCTACACAGATGTCTACCAATTTGCTACATATTGCTTGTCCATGCTAACTGAACTTTCCCTGGACCTAATACATTTAAGCTTTTATAAATGCTAAATCATTTCAAAAAAACAATTTCTAGAACAAGTTTTATATAAATGAGGTACAACTGAAACAGCAAAACTTAATATTTCATTAAAATTTCTAAAAAGTTTTCTATAAAATGGTTTTAAAAATTAAAACTAAAAGAAAACAAGAGAGATACTAGGTAAGGGGGAGCAGTATGTCTCCAAGCCAGCCTTGTCAGAAAAGCTGACTAGTTCAGAGAAAACTGGAGAATATTGACATCAAGTATCCTCATGTGGGACAGAAACCTAGAAGTTCAGATTTTGAGGGAAACGGTGGCTGAAAGGGTAAAAAATATTTTGATTCTGGGCACTACAACATGTGTACAGTGAAAATGAATAAATAACTTCCTACTGTGGTCCCCTGAATCTTCTGATTCTTACTATTTCTCCTTGACAGGTTACTTCTTTGCTCTTTAGATTCTGACAGTTTTGCAGAAAGATGTGCACTGCTGTTGTGTAGAGTAATATACTTGAAAATTATGTAGATTCCTAATTCCTAGAGCAGGGCTGGTTCCCATAGGTAGCAAGGAAATTTTACAATTTTAATGTTTGTTAAAGTTTAATGTTTCTTTAACTCACTTTAACTACATTTTTGTATGTTTAATTCTTTTTAAGTATAACTTGCATTGATTTCTTCTCTATTCTCCTTTTGAATTTGAAAATCAGAAGTTTAAGACCACTGCTGGAAGAAAGGTTTCAAATTTCAAAATATAAATAGAGAGGCTCAAGAGATTTATACCTCTGCTTAAGTTTGAATGACCTTAAACTTGTCTCAGCTTTAGTAGTACTTTCATGAGGGTGATACTGCCCATTATGGTGTAGTATATGGTGCTTAGCAGCTGCTTGTGACATTGAATTTCGATCAGGTATGTGGCTGAAGATGTGAGTGAATCTGCATGTGCATCGCCTTGTATCACTTGTGGGCCATTTTTGTAGACAAAGTGATTTTGCACAACTGTTCACAAACATCTGTTAATTTCATACATTAAAACATAGGATAATGTGTCAACCAGAAGCACAAGATCCCTACACAAAACTCTGATGTCATTAGAGATTTGGTATAAGAAGAATAATTTACCATTGTCGGTTTTGGAAAAACAGATAACTCTGCTGTGTCTGCCACACAGGCCTGTCATTTGTTACCAAGATCAACAACTTTTAGTGGCCTTGTGCAAATAGGATGTAACATGCTGCTTAGGTTCGTTGTCTTTTGTCTAATGCAGAACACTGCGTTCTGACTTTCATAAAAACTGCAATTCACCAAATCTATAAAACTTTTTTAATGGAAAATTGTTTACTTCCAAAGTCAATGTAGGGGACACTAGAATAAAAGATGTCAATATTCAGCCACACAAAAACAAAATAAAAAACCACAACTACAGTTTAGATTGTATTCTATCTTGTTTCTACCTAAGTGCAATCTCCCTGATAGCCAGAAAATCAGCCTTTCAAATTTCCTTTAGTAAATGACTATTGTAAACGTGACATATAAAAAGGAATGATAGATATTGTCCTTACTTGAACACAGGCGACACGAGGTGGCAACACTAAACCCATGTTGTCCCCATGAACCATGGTCATAACACCAATAGTTCGAGTGGTCAAGCCCCAGGAGTTCTGATAGGCAAATTGCTTCTCTCCTGGTGCTTTTGGGTCTTCAAATATGATTTCAAACATTTTGGAAAAGTTCTGTCCTAAATGATGTGATGTGGCCCCCTGGGGGAAAAAAAGTGAACTTTAATAATTTATTACACTGTTGAAAATGACTACTAGATCACATGCTTTAAAATGACACTAGACCCATTTTATATCTCCTTTTCTTATTAAATAAGATTCTGGTGCATAAACAACAAAGATTAGTCAAAACTACTATAGAAGAACACTGCTTGGAGCAGACCCTGTCACACAAGTAAGTTTAACTATAAAGACAGAGAAGGAATCTACATTTTCATAATTAAGGATGTAAGTCACCAGTTAACTGATGCTGGAGATTCAGGGGAGTCAAACAGATCTGCTTAAGATTACAATATGGTCTAGAAAGCATCTAGCATAACAAGTATAATATTATCACTTAAGCTCCTACTTCTCTAATGAAAGAAGAAATCTGCTGGCTCTGTCCACAGGCTAGGCATCCAATCAGTCCCCCAGGAGCCCATGTAGCTCTGATACCTGGATAGCTCTGCCACTAGCAGATATAAATGCTTCCAATGTCGTGGTGTAGTCTCCTCCTGCAAATTTCTCCTTCTCAGTCTTTCTTCCTTTTACAACGGGAATTGCCAGGAGATCTTCATATACTTGAGCATATAAGTCAAGTATTTGCAAAACCTGTAACAACATTTTAAATAAAAACGTTCATGTTTATGAATTATAGACTAATGAAACTACTATTTAAACGAATTGCGCTGGGAAAACATTAAACTAGAAAAACCTTATTTTATGGAATGGTTAAAGTACCTAGAATGAACTTATTAATAAGACATAAAGCAAAGAGTGTGAAAGAAACTGAAATTTTTTTTTGTTACTCAGAACTATACATAAATTTACACTATAAAAGAAAATAAATGCTTATGAAAGATACATAGTAATTGGGTGAAAACCTCCTAAGGAATAATTAGTTCACTTGTGGGATGATAATTTCTTCTATATACTAAAGCCATCTATACACTAAACATAAAAGTATTGTCATCTAAAAAATCTCAGTAACTACTTTCTTTATAATCTATGTACATTTAAATTAATTTGCTTTCAATAGAAAATATATCTGTTTTAAGAAAGACAATTTATGCATACAAGAACTGGGGTATAGGTCAGAGGTGCAGGGGGTGAGGGGATTCACCAGAAATGGGATGGAGAGGAGAACAGGCAGTTTTACTAAAATATACTGCAGTGGGCCCTCCCTGGTGGCGCAGCGGGTTAAAGCATAGCACTGAGAATCTGAGGCCACTTCCACATGAGTTCGATTCCCGCCTGCCGCCTGCCCCGGAGGAGACCACATGGCGAGCCAGACCTCTCCTGACCCGCCCGCTGCTCCCCTCAGCAGTGTACTTCGTCCATCTGCCTGTTCTGCTCCCCACTCTGTCTCTGGTGAAGCCTCTCACCGCCCCTGAGCCTCTGGCCTGTACCCCAGTTCTGTATGAATAAATAAATAAATCTTTATAAAAAAAAAAAATACTGCAGAGAGGGGTAGCTGGAGAGAAAGCAAAGATCTACTGCACCATGTGGGTTAACAGCCTGGCTGGGGATCAAACTTGTGCTGCAGTGGCTGGTGACAGCTTGACAACACTGAGAATTCAGCCCCAGCACCACCAGGGAGGCCCCAATAATATGTAAGTTTTAAGTAACAACATTTACCAAGAAATTACTTTTGAATGGTATTTTGACATCAGATCAAATTTTAACATATTTATTGACTATTTACTATGTAAATATAGAACATTAATTTACTTGCAACTGGGGGTGAGGAAGAAGTTGAACCTCGACAAAGAAATATGACTTTTTATACCTCTTCTGCTGCTTCTTCATATGTTGCAAATGCACTGTGCCCTTCCTGCCAGAGGAATTCTCGAGTACGTAGGAAAGGCTGAGGATGCTTGAATTCCCAACGCTGGAAGAGGCAGGAATACAATTTGGTCACAGAGTGCTTTTCAGTTTTTATTATCAACTTTACTTGTTAACTGTGATCCAAAGTACTTACATAATACTTCCAACAATACCAACCCTCATTATATAAAAATAAGGGGACACAAAAATGTGCTTTAGGAAACTAATGAACATGAAAAATAACAACAGAACAGAGGAAGGGCAGGACCTACCACCACGTTGCACCACTGATTGAGCCTGATGGGTAGGTCTCTGTGTGACTGCACCCATTTTGCATATGAGGGATACATTACTGAAAAGACACCGGGGAAACACAGGCAGAAATTAGTCATCATAGGTTGTATTTCTCCTTAAAGGCTGGCAAGACTTAAGCTAGCACCATAACTAATAGGAATTAAATGCTGTGTTTAGATAAAGATGCTTTTGATGCTTCTAATGATTATGTGATTTGGTATGAGATTTTGTAAAGCAGATTACTCAAGGGAAAGAAATCTACCTAAACTTTACCATACTGTAAATTCTACATGAGAATTACACTTAAGATTTCATTTAATACCAAAATCTCAATACTAAATATGTGGAAGTCAAGCTTAGAAGTTAAATGAAATGAATCCAGCAGTTACAAGTCAGAGCCACCTGACACATCTACTCATTTTGTCACAAGTGCTTGTTTATGTGTCTTACCACAGCCTACACACAATTATCTGTAATTAGTGAAAGAAAGCAAAACTTTGTACGTAGGGGGGAAAAAGCTGCTATCATAATTTCAGTCATAAGTCATTATAATACCATCTAAGAGAACCACTAAGGGGTATTAGATGGGAAAAAAAAAAAGTATTAAATGAAGAATCAACAATCCTTAACTCTAAATATGGAGGACAAACTCAAAGGCTCAAGATTTCCATGTGACACAGCCATTTTTTTTTTTTTTTAATAAAAATCAGTTAATCTTTCAGAGATTTCAGCTGCAAAATGCAGGTAATAGCAGCCTCTACCTTTCTTACTATGTTTGTTTTTTTTTTTTTAAGATTTATTTATTTGTGCATACAGAACTGGGGTACAGGCCAGAGGCTCAGAGGCGGTGAGAGGCATCACCAGAGACAGAGTGGGGAGCAGAACAGGCAGATCCACGAAGTACACTGCTGAGGGGAGCAGCGGGCGGCTCAGGAGAGGTCTGCCACGCCATGTGGCCACCTCCGGGGCAAGTAGAAATCGAACTCATGCGGAAGCGGCTTTAGATTCTCAGTGCTGTGCTTTAACCCGCTGCACCACCAGGGAGGGCTCTACTATGTGGTTTTGAGAACAGTACAAGATGATGTTCAAGACATCACTTTGTAACCTATTAAAACCCTACATGAAAGTGAATGTGCCATTGAAATGACTAATAGAATTTATAAGTAAATATGGCATTAAACATTAATGCTGGTAGGGCCCTCCCTGGTGGTGCAATAGGTTAAAGCACAGCACTATGAAGCTACCCAAAGCCACTGCAGCACAAGTTCAATGCCCAGCCAGGTCGGTGACCAACATGACATGGCCTATACCCCAGTTCTTGTAGTAGTACTGGTAATTTTATAATGAATTACAAGAATAAAATCTCTTGGACAGTTCTGAAAAATCATCATAAGTAAAAGATTAAAGTACTTAAAAAAACAAAACTTTATCCTAGCGACAGAACTTTGAGATTAACATTCTATATAAATTAAGACTGCATTCATCTTTACCAACACTCATTAAATTTTATGTTATCAATGAGGATTACAACTAACACAAAATAAATGCTGAGACTCAGGCCCAAGAGCTGTGTCCAAAACTTCAATGAACTCTGTGTGCTCAATCCCGTCCTTACCTGTTTCACTAGTAGGACGAATGGCAATTGGTTCTGCCAATTCTGTTTTCCCAGATCTTGTAACCCAAGCAACCTATGAATATAAAATCATTTCTTGTACATTTTTTTTTAAAGCATTTTAGGAAAGTGGCACAGTGTAGGCAAAATTTCTCTATTTCAATGTTGCTCTGTTAATTAAAGCAATTAAAATAACTGCTGCTGTTTACTGTGAGAAAAGTCACTTACTTTCTCTAATAAAAGTAGAGCTGATAATTTAATGTAATAGAGTCTTAACTTGCGCCAAAGTCAGAAATATAATTTAAGTAGTTTTACACTTCTCTAAATTAATTGGTAAAACTTTTTTACATTACTAATCAAGTGTGAACTGGAAAAATTCTTTAGTCATGAGAGCAAACTGCAAATATAAACACAGCTTACCTCAGGGGCAAAGTCAGCAATGTGAGTCTTCTCTGTCTCTAATGCACCTTGAGATACAAACATGGGGAAATAGCAGTTTTCAACACCAAGCTTCTTGATCTCAGCATCAAAAAAGTCCTTGATGGATTCCCAAATGGAAAATGCCCAGGGCCGAAGAATATAGCAGCCACTTACATCATAATATTCTATCATTTCTGACTTTGTGATGACCTTTTTGAAGAGAAAAATATCAGCTTTAAAGCCTAAGTTGAACAGAAATCATCACTCACATGTCAAGAATATAAGCAAGCTTCAAAGTAGAGGTTCCCACTCTTGATACATTCCTTAAAGTGCACAATAAAACAAGAGGGCTCTAAACCCTTAAGACCTGAATTCCATATTCCTTCCATTTAATAATTTAATGACTAATTCCTTTGGACACTGATTCCTTTACCTCATTGAGAGAGAGAGAGAAGTCAAAATAATGATTGTCCTGCATTGCTGGTGGGAATGCAAACTAGTACAACCACTATGGAAAACTGTTTGGAGGTTCCTCAAACTGCTAAACA